TTTGAAAGGAGACTAGATAAAGACTTAGAGGACAGGTGTGTCAGTGGATCATGGTAGTGATAATGGTCAGCAATATGTAGCTGCATATGTTTGGAGGCTTTGTGCTTCTGAAAGTTAGGGGAGAAATTATGGGAGAGGGCTACTGTTAGAGGCTACTGTTAGAGGCAGAAGTGCTGTTCACATGTTCCCCGTGCACACAAAGAGTTGAACTCATACAGCCATTCACATGCACTGTTCAGCAAATGTACAATCCGTGTACAAGAGCTGAGCTGTATAAATCAAGACGTGTACAGTCTTTCACATAAATACTTATATATCTTGTACATCTCAATATACCCCAGATATTTTGATCAGGGAGATAATGGCATGTCCCAAGGAGTTAATTACTCATGAGGACCAGTATCGCCACTCAAAATAATTCTGTGGAGGATGCTGCCCCTTTTGGAATTTCTAACTTGATGAACTCATTTTTTTTTTCATGCTGTCTTCAACATGGTCTCCACTAAACTCAACCACTTATGCACAAGTTTGTGATGGACAATATAGAGAAGAAATTGACAATAGGTTTATTGAAAATACCAGCAGCAGCCCATTCATTTGGCTGGCCCTTCGTTGTTGTTGTTTAGTCGTTTAGTTGTGTCCCACTCTTCGTGACCCCATGGACCAGAGCACACCAGGCACTCTTGTCTTCCACTGCCTCCCGCAGTTTGGTCAAACTCTTGTTGGTAGCTTCGAGAACACTGTCCACCCATCTCGTCCTCTATCATCCCCTTCTCCTTGTATTCTCAGTCTTTCCCCAAATCAGGGTCTTTTCCATTGAGTCTTCTAGGTAAAGTGAACCAGCTGCCTCAAGCATTGAATGCTGAGAGACGGTGACAATAGCAGCTCCACACACACATGGATAAGATCAGGCAATATAATTCCCCATGGGTAAATATAACAAATTGAGATGGAAGGATCTTTGAGTTTGAGTTCTCCCAGTTTCTCATTTTTTCCAATCTTAAACTCAGTTTCCCACAATTCTACAACAATTTGTGATTTGTTTATTTTTAATCTTTATGAAAATTCTCCAGCGTTTTAGTGCAAATTTCTCCCAACAAACACATTTTTGTATGCAGTTTTGACATACATTTTGCAAGCAGTGGTATATTTTGTATGTTATTTCCTCTAATATATTTATTTTACGCACACTTTTACCTAATATATGATTATTATTTTTAGAACATTGATTGGAGAACATCATAAAATTCAGATAACTGCAACTTTTGAAGAATGGCTGTGTTGTAGTTTTCATATTATTTCAGAAAGTATGGATATGATAGACTTGCCTTTAAATATGAAGTGAAGTGAATTTCTCCCCCAACCCTAGTAACAAAGAGGGGGCCAAAGCATTACAAACCCATGGAACATACTGTCATCTAAGAAAATATTTATCTCTGGATTCACCTAAATTATTTGAGATTATGGAGGGGGCAGGATATCTTCAGCCCTATGAGAAGAGCAGGCATAGTAATATGGATTGTGTTTGTTCTACTTAAAGATCTTACTTAAAATGCTACTTCAAACCTAATTCTGTGCATGTTCAGGGCAGAGGAACCAGCAAAAAATATTTGGTCAATGACCTGTGGCTCTGGGTACCCACAAACAGTGCATGATCTTTGATTGTTGGACATCACCAGCTACGATTCAAAGAAATGTTGACTCTGTACATATTCCTTGGAATTTAATTAATCATTGTTCAGAATCTCCGCATTGTGCCATCCTGCAGCAACAAAATTCAAAAGATTCTGTGTGTGAATAGATTTCCTGATTAAAAGAAACAAAAGAGAATTGCAAAGGGGCAGACCATCAGATTCATTTGTGTGTTGAAATGTGATTATTATTATTATGTTTCAAGGTTCTGAAAATTGAGATGCGCATTAGATTCGATGGTGCATTAAACTCGTGTAACTATGGTATGCCCACTACCTCAATGCAATCCTCCAAGACCAAGAATTCCAGTTCACCTACCATATTTTTCTGTGTATAAGACTACGTTTCCCCCAAAAAAATAATGTCCAAAATTTGGAGGTGTCTTATACACGGATAGATCTCTCCCCATTTTCTTAAACCAGAGTCCCCCCAAAATAGGGGGGTGTCTTATACATGGGGGTGTCTTACAGACAGAAAAATACGGTATATTGGCTCAGAGGCTTCTAGCATTAACATATGGACAAATATACAGTGTCTCTTTCCGAGTGTATCTGGAACTTGTGTTTTGACCTGCAGTACTTTGGCCTCTCTAAGTTGCTGAACTCACAGTGCTTAGTTCTATACCCACCTCCTGCATTTAATTCTTCACTCCCTCCCCCCATCTTCATCCCAGGGGGAAGATTTGTTCCGAACCGATCCTTACTCAGCTCCTCTCAGCTCCCTCTTCCCCCCTGTAATCAGTTTAAAAGTTTCTCTGCCACTTAAAAAAAAATTTTTTTTTAAAGCACCAGCAGTCTGGTTCCATCAGAGTTCAACTAGAGCCTGTACAGGTCCAGCTTGTTCCCAAATGCTCCTCAGTGCCAACAAATCCAAATCCCTCCTGACACTGTCTTCTCATCCACCCACTAAGACCTCAAAGCTGCACTGTTTAGCTGGCCTTGTAGGTGGAACTGGTAGCATATCAGAGAAAGCTACCTTGGAAGCCCTGGCTTTAAGCACCCTATGCAGCAACCTACATTTTGCTTCTAGGACATCACAACTATATTTCCCCATAACGTTGATGCCAACATGCATCATGACCACCGAGTCCTCCACTATCAGGCTATCTATTCAATGGACGACACAACATCCATAACTTTTGCACCAGGTAGGCAATTCACCCTGCAGTCCGCATGGCCATCACACACCCATCTATGTTCCTACTGATTGATCAGATCTCCTGCCACCAGGATTCCTTCACACTCTGGAGAAGAATCCTCAGCACAAGATGATGGCTGCTCCCTTCTAAGGAACCATTTCCCTCTACCTCAGAGTGACACCCTCCTTCTCTGAGTCTCCTCTTCTCCCTGACAACAGGGAAGCCAGCACTGTAGAAGTGGGACACTGCTATGTCTCTGAAGGTCTCACCCACCAACCTCTTTGCCTCTCTCAGATTCTACAGGTCTGCCCTCTGGCCCCCAGGGAACACACTTGTTCCTGTAGAGTCAGAAGCTCTTTGCGCTGAGGACAAACCTGCAACTTCTGTCCAACATGCAGATAGTCATAGATGTGACACACACTGTTGGCTTTCTACTTGCATAACTGTTGTGTTTTGTTTTGTAGCTTATTGAATAACTTAAGTTTGGTTTAGGTCAAGGAACTGAGGGTTGCAATAGTGTGCCTTGGCTGCACTGGCTTGGTATTCAACTCACCAGGATACTTTGTAGGGTAGGACAGAGACACTTTGTGAGCCAGGGCGCCCTGTAGCTAAAGGCACTAGAGTTGAGGAAGGTACCAACCAGAGCATCTATGTGAAAGGTACAGTAAGAATGTTTGTTGTGCACAGGGTTGCATCTATCTATCATCTATCTATCATCTATATCTATCTATCTATCTATCTATCTATCTATCTATCTATCATCTATCTATCATCTATCTATCTCTATCATCTATCTATCTATCATCTATCTATCTATCTATCTATCTATCTATCATCTATCATCATCTATCTATCTCTATATCTATCTATCTATCATCTATCTATCTATCTATCTATCTATCTCTATCTATCTATCTATCTATCTATCTATCTATCTATCTGAACCACATAGGTGGCTGGGATACAATTCAAGCTCTCCTTTAAACCTCAAATGGCTTGGGACCCAAATACTTGATGGGCAAAACAGCCTGCCCATGCCTTAAGGTCCCCAGAGGGGGCCTTTTCCAAGTTTCCATCATCTAAGGCAGACTTCCCCAACCACACTGGCAGAGGCTGATGGGAGTTGAAGCCCCTCAATGCAGAAGAACACCAGGCTGTGGAAGATTTAATTTACTGGAGCGAGTCTTCTCTGTAGCACTATCTGGGTTGTGCAATGCTCTATACCCATCTCTCCCCCCACCCCCATGACACTGTTGTCATTTTGGCACCAGGTTTGTTTGCCAGGATACTTTTTTTTTTAGAGTTTTGGTGGTGAATTCTGAACCTCATCTGCTTATTGTTTTCCTCTGCCTCAGTTTCTGTTTCTGTTGCTGCTGCATGAGTGTTTTATTTCTAACACCCGGTCCTTGTATCTGCATGCACGAAGGGCCAGTTTATAAATATTTTTAAAGAAATGAATAAGAACTCTGCACATGCTCAGAATGTAAGAACGTAAGAAGAGCCCTGCTGGATCAGGTCCAAAGTCCATCTGGTCCAGCATCCTGTTCTCACTGATGCCTATGGGAAGCCCTCAAGGAGGACTTGCGTAAAACTGCCCCCCTCCATTCATTTCTCCAATCTTCTGTTTAAGCCACCCAAGTCCGTGGCCATCACTGCTCCTGCGGGAGTGAGTTCCATAGTTTAACTACCTTAGGGTGAATAATTCCTTTTCCCTGCTCCGAATCTCTCCTCATTCAGCTACAGGAGTTCTGGCGTTCTGAGAGAGGTAGGAAAACTTCTCTCTATCCACTTTCTCCGCAAACTGTACAACATTTCATACACCTCTATCATGCACCCCTTGAAGCCAAGGTGTCAGGAAATCTGAAGAAGGAGCACATTATTGGGGAGGCGGTGAACAGGGCCAAAGAAGCAAAGAGAAACAAAATGGATCTCCGATGTGAAAATCTGAGATTCTTCCCCAACCGCCCGCGCGCGCGCGCGCTTCCCCTGTTTTTGTTTGGGTGTTTAAATGGGGGGTGGTGTGGTGGTGCGGCTGGAAAGCCAACCTGCTCCCCCCCCCCCGCTTCCCTTCGGAAGTGGCGCCGAATCAGCGAGCAGCGCCACGGCCATTGGAGGAGCCGCGTCTAATCCCGTCCGCGGGAGAGAAAAGCGCCCCGCACGCCAGCGCCTGCCGGCTGCTTGCTCGCTCCCCGTCTCCGTCCCCTTCCCCTTCGCACTCCGCCTCCGAGCGTCGCGACTGGCGCGCAGTCGAAAACAGCCAAGCCCGGGCGAAGCTGGCCAGCCGGCAGCCGCCGCTCCGGAGCTCCGCCCGCAACTCCCATGCCGAGGAGGCGAGATCCTCGACGGGGTCACCGCCTGGGCGCTCGCTCTCCTGCCAAGGTGGAAGCGCGTCTCCTGTTCGTGGGGAACTTTGGGGGAAGGGAAGGGAAGGGAAGGGGAGGAATCCGGGAGACAAGCATCATAATAGCCATTTATTATTTATTTATCATTTGTCATCATCATCATCATCATTTCTGCATAAGGGACTCCTGCTATTTGGGTTGATCATGCCTGAATTTTCTAAGTCTCTCCTAGCTAGGGGTGGTGGTGGTGTTTATGTGGCTTGTGTGCCTTTGGAAAGCGGTTCAATTCGGAGTGGGGCTGCAAGGAGCAGCGCCAATTCGGGAGCGGGGTGCGTGGGTAGCTGCTGCCCCGCGGCCGACGGGGATTTTTTTTGGCTGATGGCAAGGCGAGATGCCTCGGGTTTGAGGAAGACAGGACCTCGAGTGGCTTGCCTTGGCGCGCGCGCGCGCACAGCGCGATCCACAAGCCTGGTGTAAAACCGAGGGTTTCTCTTGGAATCGATCGGGACTGGGAGCAGAGTCTTCGGGCGAAGCTGGCGTGAGCATCGAGCTGTGAGTTCGAGTTCGTGAAGCGGGGTGGGAATCCGAGACCGTCGCTTAAACTAAGTCGAGGGATCCGAGGGCGAGTCCTATATAGATGCTTATTGGAGACAGGCTTCCAGCGTTTGAGGGGGTTTAAATATTGGCTCAGGTAAGCTGAGGATCGAGCGGTGGTTGCTGTCTGTGGCATGATGAGCTAGCGGCTTTCCTCGCTTTCTAGCTGTGCAGCAAGATCCTGTGCACATACGGCTTACTCTCAGGGAGCCACTGAGTTCATTTAGGTTTACTCACGCAAGCCGGCATGCCTAGGACTGCAGCCAGCGCTCGTCTCTCTCCACCTCCTCTACAGCCCCAACTAATGTGTTTTTCATCCTCCTCCTCCTCCCCCCACCCCTTTTTGGAAAGATATGGAAGAACAAGATACTGAGGCTACCGCTGGATTCTGACTCTTCCGCCGTCGCCTTCCTTCACCATCTCGCTCCCAGCTTTCTGTGGACTTCCCGATTTGCTGAAAATCTGCAACAGTGTGGAAAAGGAATGAAACTTCTTGGAACTGGATTACAGGTAGGAGGAGATTCCCCCCTGAAAAAAAAGTTCTTGCGATTTATCTACTGTTTATCTTGCATTTATCTCCTAAACCCTTTGCTCCCCACCCTCTTCCTGTTTCCAAATTCATGAGGACTGGAGGCTTGACTTTAGAAATCTTTCCAGGTTCAATCGTCTTCTGAAACAGGGCTATTTCTACATGAAACAAGAGCAGTTCGAATCTCCTCAAAAGAATGCATTCCTTATGAACGGTAGGCTGGAGTAGCTCCAAAATAGGAAGGGTGGCAGTAAATAGTTGTAGCATTTTAAAAACCAGCAGATTTATTATGGCATAAGCTTTACGGACTAGAGTTTGCGTCATCTCTGCCAAGTTCTTTCGGCTTGTGGGACTTGCGTTGCAATCCTGTATCTACTTACTCGGGAGTCAGTGTCAGTTAACTCAAGGGGCTTGCTCCATTGAGTCCTGTCTCACAGACGCAGGCAGGAAGGCCAACGAATATGCTTTGTGTATTTTATTTCAAAAAATGGATTGCTGAAAGAGCAAAGTTTGGGATCAGGGCGGTCTGAAAAAAAGGAGGGGTGATCCCTTATCAGGAAGATTACAGGACTGGAGATGGGGAAGAACAGGATGATGGAATGGGGACAATGCAGGACAATGCAGCCTGGCTGGTATTAAACACTTTTCAACTTCCTTGATCCCATTGCTAAGACTGTTCAGCCAGATCCAATTTGAGAATATTTGGAAGTAAGTGCTGGAGTTTGCTTCCTACTAGCAAGTTTAGTCCATGCATTTTAGGACCACTGCATTAAAAGCACTTTATGTCAGAAAAATTGTACTCATAGTTTGCCTGGCAAGGGCTCTTGAGTTCTAGATGAGCACAATTGAGGCTGTAGTCCTATACATCCTTATATGAGACTAAGCCTCCTTGCTGGTCATTGACCGTATTAAAGATATTTGATTTGAGACTAAGCCTCACCAAAGTCAGCTTCACTTGCTTCTGAGTAGATCCATTTAGGATTGTAGTATTTGTAGGAAAGGTCCATGCTAGAGTACATATTTTGCATGCAGACGATCCCGGGTCCAGTTCTTAGTACCACCAGTTACAGAAGGCCTCAGTCCCAGTTCCCAAACAGCCACTTCCAGTTCAAATAGACAGCACAAGGGTAGGTGAACCAATGGTTAGAGTCACTCTAAGGCAGCTTCAGATGTTCCCAGTAGGAAAATCAAGTGCAGAATTCAGTGGAGTGGAGGAAGAGTAGCCAACCACAGGAGATTGTGCTATCACTGCATTTTCAGAAAAAATATAATTTGTGTAGTAGTGGGTTTCCCCTTTTCCCACCTGTGATCACTTTTTAAGCAAGCCAATTTTCCGTCCAGGTTGAATTTGCCCATGTAAGTAGTCTTGCTTGCGAAAGAAATAGGTAGAAGCCTAGATTGAAGGGACCTCAGAGGTCATCTACTCCAACCCCTGCTCAATGCAGGATCTGCAATGCAGGGTGTTACTACAGCATCCTTGACAGATGACCACCCAGCCTTTGCTTAGATAAGCAAAGGAGAGACCCGCCACCTTTTAAGGCAGCTTTAGCGCTTCCTAATATTTAGCAGAAAGATTGTACCAGATGAGATTCATATGCCACTAATGGAGTTTAAGAGAAGATACCTCTCTGCGGGGGGGTGGGGGGGTGACAATCAATAGGACCAGAGATGTATCATTGGAAGGAAGGAAGGGACAAAGTCTCTGGACCACTCTACAGGTTACAACCAAAATCTCCTCTTGTATGGATGACATTTGTGTATGCCAAGTATACTTCTAAAGGGTGGATTGGCAAAGGCTTAGAGAAGCATAAGGACAGCGGCATAGTAGTAAATTCTGAAGTGTAGCAATCCCCGTGACTGAGCTCCTGCACCCATGTCCCTTCTAAGATATTAGGACAAAAACAAACTTTTGTCTAAATGCTGACATGATGGTTTCAATGCTAAGGCAGTTTTATTCTTCCCCTGCTCCCGCTTTGCCTAACATTCAGCCCGACGAAGAGTTGCGATAAACTCAAAAGATTGCTTACTATTTTGTGACGCTTTTAGTTGGCCCTCATAAAGAGATCTTGGAATCTTTCAAAGCAATCGTGGTGGTTTAAACATGTAGCCATGCATGCTAGCGTAATCTACGTTTCCCTCTGGTGCATTTCACTTTTTTGGGGGGGGGGACTTTATCTGGCATGCAGGGGACTGGCAATTTAGCACCCCAAGAGACTTCATCATTGTCTCTGCTCTTGAAGAAGTGGTGGCGCTTTGTCCCTGCCTGTCCGTAATCTATTGCACCACTGTGTGGTTTGGCAGGGGGAGCTTCTCAGGTTCTAAGAACAGGTATCTGGGGAAATTGCAGGTGGGAGACTGCAAAGAGATGGAATTCTGTGTCTAGAGGAAACTTGACTCCTTTCTCCCACCCTACCTCATCTGCCTTTGCAATGCTCATTCTGTAAGATACTGCCCACTGTCCAATAAGACTGCTGGCCCACCTAGCGCAATATTATCTTCACTGCCTGGCAGTGGTTTCCCAGGGGTCTTTTCCCAGACCTTTCTGGAGCTGCCAGGGTTTGGACCAGGGACCTTCTGCATGCAAAGCAGATGCTCTGATACTGAGCTATGGCCCTTACCCACCCCCATATAGATCACCCGCCAGGGCTTCCTCAACCATATGGTGCATGGGTATTGCTCCGTTCAGGTGAACCACACTAGCTTGCAAGCATCCCACTTGCATACCAATTTGAAAGGCGCTTGCTCTGGGATAATAGGCTTGAGGACTGTAATCATGTGCTTCCTCTTATGATGCACCATTAGCACAGAGCTGAGGAGAGAGGACAAAGAACTAGAGTGCCTTCCAGAGCAAGAAGGCAGCATAGGCCAGGTCTCCCTCCTTGTGTTTGATTTCAGATTTAATTCAGCCAAGGAAATTATTTCTATTTCTTTGTGGTCCTTGCCAGTGAAGCATTGTTTAATGTTGAGCAGCTATGCCATTTGCGGGTTTCTTCCATATTTCCTTAAGAATAATTTCTTAGAGAGAGTCTCCTTGCCTAGAGTACATTTCCCCTGCCCTAGTGTGTGTGCAGTTTTGAAGGCATGTATCGTTTAAATGTGGTAGATGAAAATCCTTTAATCCTTTAATCCATGCCCATTCCGAGACCATGGGTGATCCAGTCCATTTCTCCTGATGCAAAGAGTTTTGTTTTTAAAAATTATCTTTGGTGAAATTTTGGGATGTTGAGGGAAAATGGCAAATGTTCCAACCAGGAATGTACTGTTCTGCTTGTCCACTCATCAGTAGCAGTACAGAGCTCACAGAAAGCTCGCTCCTGGTTTTCCGCATCACAAGATTCCTTAAACTCATCAGCCTAGTATAGGTGTGTGTGTGTGTGTGTGTGTGTGTGTGTGTGTGTGTGTGTGTGTTGTTGCTGCTGCTGTTGTTGTTGTTGTTGCATATCTACTGCAAACTAATCTTAGGTCTACCAATAGATCCCAATCTATCATCCTTGAAGCTCTCACTGCAAACCACTCAGAGATCTCCCAGTAGATCTCCTACTACCCCCCTTGCAGATCTACTGCTGACCATTTGAAGACCTACCAATAGGTCCCAGTTTCTACCATTTGGCCACTCCCACACTTAGGGAATTCTGCTTTGGGGCAGCGTGGCTGTCACCGGTTAGTATTTCATCCCCTGTCCCCTTCGTGTTAGAGAAATCCTCCCACTTTTTCCACGCTGCAGCTGCTGTTGCACAAACTGAAAACCTTCAGCACATTTGCAAGACGGGGGAGAAAAAAATAGTCCATTTGTTCCAAATGCCAAAGCAGCCCTCAGCCCAGGAAGCTGTTGTATGTGTTGGAAGAAGGAGTGGCTGGTTCTTAAAATAATAATTGGGGGGGGGGAATGCTCCTCGTCGCTGCAAAGAAGTTTTATTTATCCTCTGTTCGTCATCAGAAAGCTGGTTCCATCTGAAGATGTCTTGAGGTCTGGGGGTGGGGGTAGCCCTCAAATTAAATGCTGCCGTGGAGCTTCTACCCCCCTCTCCCTGCTTAATGGGGAACCTGGTTGCAGTAAATCAAAGATTCACTCATTTGGAGCCTAATTAATCAGCATCCCACTGTAGTGAAACAACGCTTTCTTCCTAATGGAACCTTTGAAACTAGCATGTGGATCACAGCGAGGTCTCCAAGAGACATCAGGAGGGGAAAGCTCTTCAATGTGAAACACATTTTATTTATGTTTGGCTACTGTGGCTTTCAGCTTTATTCTGAAATGTTTCTGTTTGCCTCTCCCTTGGTCTTCTTCCTCCTTTTTTTGCTGCTGAAACGCACAAAACTCCAAGCCCGTGGTCACAGTTCCTTTAATGTGCACTCACAGTGCTGGTTTTTTAAATCTGCATTCATGTGGCAGTTATCCAAATTGCATATGGATCCTGCGTTTTATTATAAAATACCACCGTTTGATGCATTGTTTCTCAAACCAGTTTCACGCCAGCTGGAGTCCTCGAGCCATTCCTGATTCCTCTCTAGCCAAGGCGTGGACTAGTATACGGTCAAGACACGCCACCCTGTCAATGTCCCTGGTCTGCACACCAACAGAAATGAATCTGACACTAATGAAGCTATGCTGATGTGAACTGCTAGGGGAGAAAGGGCTGTGAAATGCACCGAAAACAAAAACTTTGATGTGCTCAAAAGCAATGATGTGAACACACCCTGGGACATTGGGGTGCCCATATATTTTGGACTTCAATCACTTTCTGAGTCCCCCAGTAATAAGCAGGTGGAAAAGAGAGAGAGAGAGAAGTTTGGTATGTGAGTGAGTCTTTACTGGCCAATGTGACTGCAGATTTGCATCAGAAATAGTTTTTTTGTTTGTTTACAGCTTGGCATGCAAAAACTGCAGGCAGCTTAAAATCTCTCTCTCTCTCTCTGCATGCGTAGTAAAACTGCATCCAAACCCCGTCTCAAATAATAAGAAGTCTTTTAAGAAATATAT